TTTCACATTCTTCATAAAAAAAAACAGTTGGGGTCCTCGAGAAGGTTTCACTTTCTTTAAAAAAATAGATTTGGGCACCCCAAGAAGGTTTCGTAAAAAAAGACAGTTGGGAGCTCCGAGATGGTTTCACTTTCTTAAAAAAAAATCGAAAATTAATTGAAGTATGCTTCGCCAAATTCCGCTTTTTTGAAAATAGTATAAAACTTGATTTTGTGATTTTTGTTTTGTGTTAACCTTTCTACGATAAAAACTAGTGGGGTAATTAACACACCGCGGTCCCCACAAGTGTGGACAATATGAAATGTACTTAAAACAGATAACCAGCGGGAAAAATGTAAATATTCTCAATTTCCCGGTACATGCTTAACTTCGATTGTTTATGTTTATAATTCGAAAAAAGTCGACTATTCGCACGTTTAGATCACAAGCATCAGCGGTTAAAATGGAATGAAATTTGATTTTGGCTCTTCGACGCAGACGACAGGACTGATTATTTAATTAATCACACTCAGTTTTTTTCCCCAAAAACACTCACAAATTTGAAGAACAGTTATTCGGCAAAATTGTAAGATGACGAATAAAGTTTGATTAACGATTTATCAAGCTTCCGAAAACCTTAAGATACGCAAGATTTGCAAGATTTCACAGCATTCGGTTTTTGTAATTTAAAAGTTAAATTGTAAAATGTTATAAAATTTTGACTTTTGTTTCCAAAAATCTGGATGTCTACGGTAATAACTGAATACGGATTAATAAACCACATTTACATGTGATTTATTAATCCGTGTTCAGTTTTTAGGAGTATCCGAATAGACACTAGGCAAATAGACGGACGGAAACAAGAGACCTATTTTTTTTTTCGTACTCTAGGGGTCATATCCCTTCCTTGTTGACAGTTCATTAAATTTATACATCTTGTACTATAGAATATAATAATTAAGTTAAAGTAGAAAATCTATTTACAATTTTTAGTGTCAAATGAAAATTGTTAATTTAATACGCTTTAAAGGCTTCACTTAAAATTATTATTAAAGATTGAAGTTCATACCAAATTATTATAACTTCAAATATATTTGCACTACGTGTTTATAAATAATATAGAATTTACATTTCTTGATCATAATACAGGGTGATTCGGCCTAACTGACGAATGTAATTTGTGGTTAGCGGCAACCCAAAATACATTATTCATTTATTCCTTAACTCACAACTGAATTTCAAAAATATCATAAATCCAGGAAGTCTGTGGTTTCAAAAACCATCAAATAAAGTGTCACTGTCACACATTACGTTTAAAATAAAAAAGGACTTTCACGAATCCATTGCGGATTTTTTTGTGCATAAAAATGTAAGTTGTCTTTGTTTACATTGCCATTGCTGGAAAATTTGGCTTCATCACTAAATAAAATTCTCCTGATAAAATTGAGATCATTTAGCAACTGTTCCCGAACACAATTGCAAAATGCTAATCGTCGGGGAAAGTCAGGCCCTTGTAATTTATGAACTATTTAACTGCATAATATGCTACGGGTGGAAATTGTTAGAGGACATCCTAAAACAATCTTGAAAACTTGGATTTCGTTGGCCAAATGTGTAGCGGTAGTTTTTTGAAAATTTTATGTTGTATGTCTACGTTAGGGGTACAAATTTGCCGCCACTAAAGCATTTTTTGATACTCTTCATATTCCTCATATGCGTATTCCTGATGTTAGTAAATGAATATCTTGGCATTTTTGGAAATAATTTTCAACTGCTCAATATTGACAGTGACATAAGAATACCAACTTGGCTTCATGATATTTTTTAAATACTACTATGAATCACGGAACACAGGAAAATTGTATTTTGGGGTGCCTATCCGGATAGGTCAAATTCGTCATTTACGCTGAATCAGCCTGTATACTTTAAACGAAACTACAACGTTATTTTAAACTTTATACGAAAAATCCATATCTGTTATTATCGTAATCAAGTTTCCATTAGTAACAACATGTTTAATGCAGGCTTAAATCATTCACGACGTTTAAGTGTTGTTTTGTAAACTATAGATATTACGAACATAAAGTGCAATAAAAAGTTTTAATACACTTAAAAATGTCAAGTCAGTCAGGTTTTCAAAGATTAAAAGTTCAAAGTGAAGACAATCTGTAACATAATGTGTAACATATTTTGTGATACGAAAACAAAATTATCATAACCAAAAGTCATACTTACATTCAAATTTTGAAAATTCTAAGACAGAAATAGTTGAGTGACAAACAAATACCGCAAAATTGTGACAAACAAATACCGCAAAATTATGATCAGGTATGAACTGTCAGGGGAATTATGCACTGTACATATCGATCTTGACACGGTTTACTTTATTTGAAAAATACTAAAAATGTGAAAAATTATTTGCATATCAAAAAGGTGAAAAATATTAATTTACATAACTGGTCGCTTGCTCCATCATTTTTGCATACAAGCCTCGGCTACAAGAGAATTCTTATAAACGCATCGAGAACTTAATCGCATTACGATGTTTTACACACATACGTCATTTCGATTTGTTGTTTGATCTTCATGGCGTTTACTGACATTTTTTATTTATCCGTCCACCATTCACAGAAAAAGGTAGATAACACGTGGTACGTACTACGCAATCGATGTTATCTGTTTAGATGCACTCTTACCTTCTGAATGACATTATCGTTTTTGTATTCGTAAACTACGCATCTTCTAAGCCTAATTACTTTTTGGGACTTTGGAGTATCCCAATATTCGTTAAATTTAATATATTATTTAATAAAATATTAAACCATTTTCTCGGAAAATCAGTTTTTCAAAAACTGTAAAAACATGCATGCATATAATTATATCCCTGGCCCCCTAATATACATATTAAGAACAGACATTTGGTCTGCAAGTTTGCAGTAAGACCTGAGTTCTCTAACGATGCTGACACGTTCTAATTCATTTCAAAAATGTCAATCTGAAAAATGTTGATTTATACATATCGCCATTGCACATTTACATACACAATTACGTGCTGAGTTCGCAATTAGTGTTGGTCGCTTCAACTTTTCATACTTCATATGTCTTGTATACTCAGATTGAGGTACCTTTACTTGCTTTGTTTGGAGAATCGGTTTTATTTACATTTGACAGAATTTCAGGTTTCCACGAGCTTGTACAATATACCTACATATAAATAAATTATTCCGTTTCTGTTTATCTGGTGTCTTTTCCTTGTTTGTGATTTCTAGTGAACTGATTACTGTGAAATTTTAGCCGTATTTTAAGTAAATGGTAAAATGCTAGCCAAAATTTGCCTGATCGTCCCCGCCTACAATCTAGTGATGTCGTTTCAAAATTTTCTTAAGTAAATCCTACTTAAAATGTCATTTATTAATCCACCTATTTTTTACGATGGAAACTAAAAAACAAATGACTCTTATTTATTTTTTTTAAAACATAATAATGTTACGAAAGAAACCCATACGCGCCCCGTTACGACGCCTATGGGTTCTAGTATGTACGGCGATGATGGGTGACTCATAGTGGATGACGGCGGCCTGGCGGCGTTCACTAAAGAAAAACCTGGAAGTGGAAGTCACATGTGTATTCCAGAAAGACCTCGATTGCGAAACATCTAGCGGGGAATATGAGTTTAAATAGAGGCCATCTTCGGGAACGAGAGTATTCAGTCAGCGAATCGAGTCCAGTGAATGAATTCAGTCAAGTTGCGCCAGAATTATTTTGTACATAATCGTTGTGTAATTGGTCGTGTAAATTTCACTTACTAAGAAATAAATTGTTGAGTTTACCCACGTCGATTTTTTAATGCCTGTCCAACGTAACAATAACGTCATCATATAACCACGTTGGCATTATTTAGACAAAGCGAAACTGCTAAACTTAGTTGAGGTTCTATCGGATTTCTAAACCAAAATAAAAAAAAAAGATCCCACAACATTTCGGTTAAGAATAATATTGAATAATTGTTGTATAGAACTTACTTGTAAGAGAAAATTTTAGAACATTTTTTTAGTAATATTTTAAATTATTTACTGTTTTCCCTTTTCAAATTAATTGCATCAATACATTTTCATATACAAACACTACTCAAATAAATTAAAAATTATCCTTTATTAAAGATAAACCATTACTTACCAAATAACTTCTTTTATAAATGGTATATTTCACAAACGCGTACTGCAAAATGGTCATTAAGAAGTCAAATTCAGACTTAGCAAAATTTACAAATATTACTGTAAATTATATGAGAATATCGACACTATATCCATTTAGAACCGCATCTGACGGAAAACTGGTATACAGTAAAACTTTAGATACTATTTACTTTTTTACAAAATTAATAATAATTGTGATTACCTTTTACGTAGGTCAAACAGTTAACGCATCACAAATAAGAGGACATTTTATAACGCATTTAGATTTATTTATCGTCAGTCATCTCTTTGTGGTAATTTATACAGCTTGCTTAGCCTTTGCTATAGTAATAATTAACAAAATATTTCTTTCAACGTCTTTAAAATTGCTAAATAATATAACGAGTTTAAACGAAATGTTAGAACAAATGGATATTTATCCGAATTATAAAAGAAATTACGCATTGTATTTAAAGAAAATTGTTCTAGATATGATTGTTGTTTTAACCTATTCAATAGGTATTCCATTAACAAGATTCCACAAACAGAAACTTCCTATATTTCTTTTGATGTGGTTGGCATTTATCAATTGTTTCATTAACGTGATCAACTGGTCTATTCCTGTATGTTTTATCAACATATTTTGCACGTTAAGAGCAATGTTAACAGCTGTTACTCTGAAACTGGAGCATGAGTATAGAAACGTTAAACTGATAAAAAAAGCAGCCATTGTACATCACGAGTTATGTCAAATATTTAGAACAGCAAACAAAATTTTTTCAATCCAGTTACTGTTGTTGATTTTATTTTATTTTATCATGTTCTCACTTCACACATTTTACGTGATTTCTTGCATTGTTGAACATAAAGTTGACTTATACGTTATCTTGTCTGGCATATGGATCGTTTTAAGCATTTCAAAATTTTTTATGTTCGTTGTGCTGAGTACAAACTGCACCAGAATGGTAAATCACGAATATTATAGTAAGTAACAGGAGTCGTACTATATTTTTTAAGTGTAGGCCAATGAAATAAGCTCACGTCTAAAAAGTTCGATAGTGTTCATAAAAAGTTGCAAAGTTAAGAAAGAGGTAAGTTAACAAATGGGTAAACCTAGGGCAGATGGCCAAATACACAGTTGGCACTCACTATGAAAGTTTTGTTTGATATATACTTATCAAGCTCTAACTGGTGAAAATAATGAACAACGTCTGAATAAACCGTGTCTTTGGAAAATTTAAGTTTAAAAATATATGTTTACACCTAATTCTGGCCGTCTGTGAGCAGCTATTTTCTGTAAGAAGGAAAAAACAACAACAATGTTATATTAGACTTAGTTCTATCGACTGTTCCTGATAATACTTGTGTTACTAGATCTGATTATAGCTTAGTTCCAATCGATTTGCATCATCCGCCACTCTGTATTGAAATCACTTATACTGAAGATGCGCCGAATTTTCTCGATATAAGAAATGATCATACTTGGTATTACGACTTCCGAAATGCTCCTTACCACTTAATAAATGATTATCTATCTAGCTTAAATTGGCATATGATTCTGGATAATGATGATTTCTTGACCACATTTTATAACATCTTATTCTGCACTTTCGATTTGTATATTCCCAAACGTGTTAGGACTCATAATAACTATCCCTATTGGTATTCGTTAAAAACAAAGAAACTAATAAAACAAAAACGTGCAGTTTACAATAAACTCAAGAGATCAGATAATTTGCAATGTTATGTTAAATATAAAAATCTCCGCGCACAAACGAAATCTTCTATCCAACAAGACTATAAGAATCATGTGTCTCACATTCAGTCCAATATCAATTTCAACTCTAAATCCTTTTTTAAATTTATTAACTCGAAAAATCGTAATTCTGGCATTCCGACATCTATGTATTATAATGAAAATTCTTCCAATGATATGACTTCTATATGTAATATGTTTGCGCAGTTTTTTAGCTCCGTCTATAATACAAGTAATGCACCGTTTTCTCCCGTCAACTTTGATTCACAACAGTTTATTAATAATTCTGGAACAATGTGTAATATTGAAATTACTTCTGAAATTGTTGCTACTAAACTGACACGCTTAAAGGACAGCTTCAACCCAGGACCAGATGGGATTCCTGCTCATATCTTAAAGCACTGCAGCTATAGTCTATCATGGCCACTAAGTATAGTTTACTCCAAGTGCTTAAAATCTGGTCTTTGTCCTGAAATCTGGAAGCTATCGTACGTCATCCCTTTACATAAAAAGGGTTCTAGATCGGACGTAACTAATTACCGCCCAATTTGTGTTATACCAGCCCTATGTAAGCTACTTGAAACTATAATAACTGAGAACATTTTCGTTTCATTTAAAACAATTATTTCATCTCAGCAACACGGTTTCTATCCTGGACGTAGTACTGTAACTAATTTAAGTTCTTTTACTAACTTTACTTACACAGCATTAGAGGAGAGTTACCAAGTCGATACAATATACACTGATTTTAGCAAGGCTTTCGATCGAGTTGACCACGATATTCTACTTTACAAATTAAAACAATACGGCTTGGCCGGTAATCTTTACCAGTGGATCGAATCTTACTTAAAACAGAGGTCTCAAATAGTTCAGTTAGGGAACCATTATTCTGATCCAATTATTGTGACGTCAGGTGTTCCACAGGGCAGCCATCTTGGACCTGTTTTGTTTTCCTTATTTGTTAACGATTTGGCTTGTCTACTCGATGATTGCTTATTGTTTGCAGATGACTTAAAAATTTTTGGTAGAATTTCTAGTATTAACGACTGTCATTTACTTCAAAATAAACTTGAAATCATTAGTTCTTGGTGCGTTAACAACTCTATGGGAGTAAACACTGATAAATGTAAGGTTATAACATTTACCCGTAGATCTAACTGTATTGTGTTTCCATATACTTTGAATAATGTTACTCTCGAACGCGTTTCTGAAATCAACGACTTGGGTGTAATCTTAGATTCAGAGCTACGATTTGCTAGTCATTTTGATTTTGTTCTGAATAAGTCATTTCGAACTTGTGGCTTTATCAAACGTCAGTCTATTGATTTTTGGGATATTAGTTGTCTACACAAATTGTTTGTAACTTTAGTTAGACCGATTCTTGAATACTGTTTTGTTATTTGGTTCCCATTTTATAAAACCCACGTTGATCGTCTTGAAAGAGTACAACGTAAGTTTGTCAATTACCTACTTTTTAAAATGGGAATAAATAAGGATAATTATAGCTATGACCAAAGGCTTGTACTTGTAAACCTGGAACTACTGGAGAGTAGAAAACAAAAAGCTGAAATTCGTTTGGGTTATAAGTTGTTCCAGAATTGCATTGACTGCCCTGGCCTAGTTATGTTGTTTGATATTAGAGTACCTAGATTAGGTTCTCGTTGCTCTGAAACTTTTATACCTAGATTTCATCGTACTAATTTTACGTTTCATGCACCTATGGATAATATAGTTAGATCTATAAACAAAATTTCAAATAATCTGGACTTTTTTAATATAACTTTATCTTCTTTAAACAGCTACCTGAAAAATCTTTAAGTTGTATGGATTAATTATTTTTAGTTTTTATGTATTTCTTTTTTTTGTAATTAGTTTGCACATGTTTAGTTCTATTTTCGATATGTCGTCTTATGGATTTTGTATCTTTTTCGACATTAAATACATATTATTATTATTATTATTATTATTATAAAAAAATGTTACAGTTTCATCTACTGGCCTTACAAATGTGTCACGAAAAAGTGAAAATAACTCCTTGTGGATTTTTTGATGTTAATCCACCTTTGTTATTTATGGTGAGTTTAAACAAGTTGGGGGTACAAGGTTTAAAACTTCATAAATTTAATTTCAGATTATTTCGTCTGTTGCGACATATATGGTACTATTGATACAGGTGCATAAAGATATTTTAAAATAACAAAACCGTGTAAGATATAGGGTGTGCAGGCGTTCGGTTTTCCTGTTTTTGTATTAATTAATCTGTAGTTTTATGTGTTCAATTTGAAACAGTACTGCTATATGTTCAGAAATGAAATTGGACAAAAACATTTGGAGAACTCGATTTAAATAATTGCTACAAGGGCTACATTCAAAATTGTCGGTTTATGATGTCAACAATTTTTAAGTGAAAACCCTACTTTTTAATTTACATATTTTAAAAAAGTAAGAAACCAATAATAACTCATTCCTTTGCCCATAATTTATGACAGCAACATAAAATTTAGTTTAGAAAAACTAAAGTGACACTATTGTAAAAACGAGTATCGACGATGATTTCTAGAAATCGTATGATATGGACGAATATTTTTCATATATTTTTATAGTATTCATAATATTTAATAAAAAATTAAAGCATCACTTAAAAAAATATTTATAACAGCATAATTTCGACGTTATCAAAAAGAGAGTGGCGAAATGTTTTTGTTAAATGTCATTCCTGATTTGTTCTTTCCAATTTATATAGAAGTTACACACGCACTGTGCATCGGGTAATTAAACTGTATTTTTAAATTCTTTGAAAATAAATAATTTTGAATAACTGCGAAATTTACATTGACAGTTACTTTGTTGACCAATCAGGGAAATACAAATGCAATCAAAGCGTATGTTATGATATCAGCGTAAGTCCACAATGGAAAATCTTTCTGCAGACCCGTATCTTGCCACGTGCAATCAATATCAACATGAGAACTCCAATTCTGCAGTTTTCCTCCTCATAAAAGACGTGTAGTTTAGTTCAGAAGTCGCCGCCGTGAAATTCATTTAAGTCCGTCATAATCGCTCTATTTTTAAAAACAACTTTATTAAATCAATAAACTTCACTGGCGCAGTCGGTAGGATACGATCTACCCTCTGGACATTGACGCACGATCAACTGCAGTTCAACCAGATGAAGAACTAGAGCGGTTACTAAACGAGCTAATACTAATAAATAATACCCCAAGACATTCATCAAATAGGCAATTCACCAAGAAACCTATCACCAAGTAATTCATCAGACACGATATCAGCAATTTCAGGAACAAGCCCATCCGACATATCAAGTGAACACAGGTCAAGCATACAGAGAATTCCAGAAAACCTGATTCTTGATTGCAGGAAATCAGATCACAGACAATCAGATTACAGAAGTACCCAATCAGATTTCAGAAAAACAGGAATTATAACCGATCAGAAAGCAGTCAATCTGAAAAAACCATCACTAACACAACAAACACACCATCAGTAACCTCACGACGAGAAAATAACGAAACACCAAGAACAATCAACATCTGTGAAGATGCAATCGACCGAAAAGAAGGACAAATTTTTGTAACCACAGTTTTTGCAAACCTTTCATTGAGACCAAAAATTTTAAGGAATACCGGAATGGCAATGATTAAAGCCCAAATCGCTCAAGATAACAATAATCAACAAATCAAAGATCTTTTAATAGATTATTGTGAACCGAAAAGACATTATTAGTGCTTTTTTGACACCGAAAGAATATACAGAGATTTTTACAAAGAAAGATTCAACGCCGAAGCACGAATCCTCAAACGCTGTACGAAAGGAATAACACCATGAAGGAAAAACCAATTATTGAGGAATACGTGAAACATGCACCAGATTACAACGCTTAACTATATTCTGGCCAAAATTAACGTAGCATATTACATCAATAAATGCGAAATATGCAAAAGGACGAAATACGAAAGACATCTCCCTGAAATTTCACTAAAACTGATAGAACAAGTTGACAAACTTTTTCAACAAATAAACATGGATCTATTTACAATCGAGGGAACCACATTCCTAACAGTTATCGAGGCATTTACGAAATTAGCCCAAGCACATCAAGTTTCAAGCAAAAACGCCATCCAAATTTGTGACAAATTATTAATTTTTTTCCAACACTATGGAGTACCAGAAAAAATGACATTTGACTCAGGACTAGAGTTTCAAAATGACACCGTGAAAAAACTTTTGGAAACCCAGAACATCAAAGCTCATTTTGCGACACCAAGACACCCGTAATCAAATGGTTTAATTGAAAGACTACATTCGACTCTGACAGAACATTACTGAATTCTCAGACAATATTTCAAAGTACCACAGATCACCACCATGGCTCACGCAATTATCGGATACAACAACTCAATCCATTCAGTCACGAATGAATTGAGATTGTCCACTCGAACTATTATTAAGACACAAAACGCCACGAAACCCTTTTGATATTTACCAATACACCCGATTAATCGATAACAAAAATCGAATGAAATTAATCTACCAAAAAATCGCCGAAGATATGCAACAACATAAGGAACATGTAATCGAAAGACAAAACAAATAATCCAATCAAAATACATTCGTAATAGGACAACAAGTTTACGAGAAAAACCCCCAAGCTAACTGAAATAAATCAAAGGATCGATATCTAGGACCATACATCATTACCGCATTCAATGATGATAACAGATGCATGATACGCTCACAAGATCAACAAACCAAGAGAATACACATGGATAATTTAAGACCTCCTGTTCCAGGATAATCATCAAGATCTATGGATCCAACCAACTTCAACCACAAATAACAAAAATCATCGAAAACTCTGGACCACTACCCTAAAAATTAGGTATTGCCAGAAACATAAGCGATCACTGGACATTCATAAGAATATTCGACATAGAAACGCTTACTAGTGAATATGATAATCTCCGTAGACACGCAAGATAATTAGAAAATAATTTCAATAATAGAGAAAATAGAGCAACATATTTCCCGAAATAATATCAAAAAACTATCTATCGAAGAACCAAAAGAGGCATCCTGAACTTCTTAGGTAGCGCTGTAAAAGCAATCACTTGAAATTTAGATAGCGAAGACGGACAACGCTATGAAACTTTAATATCCCAAATTCAGACTCAGCAAAATAAACAGAAAATTCTGCTCAATGAACAAATCTTTCTAACTACCACGGCAATCGAAAAATTCAACAGAAGCATCGCCACATTAACGATCAATCAACAAATATTCAAAAAGAAGATCACCGAAATCGAATCAATCATCAATCGAACTATTTCCATGAAAATCGAAATTTACCCACTTCTATATTTGCACAAATTTTTTTTCCAAATGATCACCATATAGCAAAAAATATTAAGAATATTGAAAGAACTTGAAACAGCAATTAGCTTCGCAAAATTGAACACACTGCACAATTCAATAATAATAATTGACCCAAAACACATGTTAAGTGAAGTAAAAATACTAGAGAACAAACTCGACGAAAAAAACTTCGCCTACGAAGCCAAGAAGCAAACTTTCTAACCTACGAAAGAATAATCCAAATTAAAACCTATCAGAAAGGTCTGGATATCGCGTTCATTTTTGAGATACCGCTTACCGAACCTCATAATTACAATTTTTACCAATTTTATCTATTTCCTATTCATATATCTGCAATTTGCCACATACCAGCAACATTTCCAAACAAGCACCTTGTGAAATTCAACTGCTCAAATTTTCAAAGAATTACCAGCAGTGTAATATCATCAAAGTCAACCTCAAAACATGACAGTCAGAAAAATTGACAAGAATCAATGGATTGGAATATTCCCAATTGACTAACCAGCCACTTCAACATGCGGACAACAGGAACAACACCTATCAATAAAAGGAAGTTACCTTATCACCGTCCCAGATGGATGTTGAAATAACCCAAACTTCCCGCCTTTAAATTGACCTTGAAAAAGTTTAAAAGACCCGCGAAGATTTCAAAAATTCAAAATTTGGCCTTGGTTGTGATCGTCTAACAAATGGGAACCTACGTTGTGTGTGTTTTTTTTTTTTGAAAGTGGCGGGAAGACGTTCTTTCATACAAGTGCATACACTGCGTGTGAGTCGAGAGCGCAAGAAATAATAGACAAAAATTAGGGAGGGGCCGCAATTGCACCCTTCCTTAGGAGGAAAGGAAACGAAGAGCGAAAGTGACTCAGCGTGCCCTTCTGGCGGTCCCGCAGGGCCAGGTCGTCATCGGTCTTCATTCCCAAAAACCCCCTAGGGCTATATTCACAGATATATTACATTTCAAACACCTTAAGATATATAAAAGAAAAATACTCGCGAATTGACAGACATACACAAATGAAAAACGAACAAACGCAAAATCTTATACATCTGTTTGGAATCAATGTAAATATTTGAATATCACAAATTTAATAAAACAACAAAGCAAAATCTGAATTCAAGTAACTGGATGCAAATATACAAGTTATTACAGGCGTCTGGCGGCTGATTTTAAAGTTACGGCAGTTAACAGGAGCCCAACAAAAGTACCCCTGGGACGTGCTAGCATAAGCGGAGTTTGGGACTACCGGTCTGGGACTGTTCTCCCCCCACGACGGTGATTCTATCTATCACAAAGTCTACCCGCACGCATATCTCCATGACGAACGTGCTCTGGGAAATTAGGCCGCTACGATCGCAGGTCCGCAGTTGGGTCTCGACTATTGGTCCAAATCGACAGCGTTACAACATCGGCGATCGCCCCCTTATTCTATTCAAACCTGTGGACTTGTACAGATGACACGATAAATCTCACCAGCCCGACTAGGAACCGCACTTCGCTTCTGCCACGTTTTCTGTGTTATTTAACCTCAATTCCATTTTTAAATGTTCAATCTCTTATAACTCTGATATTAACAACAACTGAACAAGTGTTAAAGTTTCGAAGACCAATAAACAACATTCAAATTCGCCATACAATCTTGTGAAATTTTAAACGACAAATAATAATTCTTATCAAATAATTTATATGATAGAAAACATTCATCAACAAAATATTTACAAAACAAAACCAGCAAAGATTTATAAAACTAAAGATCTGGTGTGAAATAAACTTGTACAAATAAAACTATTATGTGAGGTTAAAACTGTAGAACATGAAATTTACGTTCAATTAAAATTATACAACAAAGGAAAATTACTGAAGATAAAACTGTGAGATTAAAAAATATTGCATGAGGTGGAAAATTGCAAAGTTAACAAAATTTACATGAGATTAATAATTGCCACACTTTTTCAATGATTCAACCAAAGAGTTTACATTATGTCAAATTATATCATGATCTAAGTGATTGGTTACTTCAAAAAACAATTTACTTTGAGAGTTTAAAATACCGCAAACTGGTTACCCCAACAAAACACATAATGAACAAACACAAAAATATCCAGTCATCGCTGTGAGAGAAGCGTCTCGGTGATGTAAATTTTAAAATCGTTGTGAGGAAAAAGCGTCTCGGGGATGTAATCATGATAACGATGATAATAATGATGATAGCCACCTAAGGGAAGAAATTATCATAACCCCCGCCAGTTCGCAGTATAATGAACTTGTTTAACTGCCGTAAATGAACCATTAGCAATCTTGTGTAAAGAATTTAGAAGTGTTATAATGTAACACTTACGTATATGCATCCA